CAGCTGGTTCAGAGCCTCCTGTCCCGCTCCAGGACGGCGGAGAAGCAGAGGGGAAGTGAAGACAGGTGATTGGCGAAATAGTGGAGGATGGGAGGAGGGAGTGATGCGATCAGTGTGTCGTGTGTGCTGTGGAGTGAGCTCGAGTTGACCAAGATGTCTTTGTGCGTGAGTCAGTGCCAGTGTGTGCTGCTGCTCGGCGGCTGGAACCGGCATCCGTCGGGGGTAGCTCGTGTGGTACTGAGGAGCTCCGACCCTCGCTGTGCCGGTGGGGAGGGGCGGGGTGCCGTCACGATCACTCCTTGTATGGGTGGTGGCGTGCCGGCCGGCGGACCTGTGCTGACCGCAGCTGCTGGACGAGGGCGCCCAGGCCGCACACTGTAGACTTCCACGGCTGCTCATGGCTGCCTCCGGAGACCGTCTTTGTAGCGCTGCTCTGAGGATGAGTCCAGCCCGTCCGGACTGACTCCGAAGCCGCCGGGGTCTCTCTGAGTAGGGGCCAACGGCACCCCAGCCGCCGCTCCATATGGAGAGAAACGAAGGCGGCTCAGCTCAGCTTGGTGTGTGGTGTGGGTTGAAGATAGCTGAACAGCGGCAGCTGCGGGGCTCAGCTCTCTGCCAACCACCTTCCGTGACGGTAACGAGCGCCCCGCGCCGTCACAGGCGTCACGTGACGGTCTGTGGGGGCGGGGCCGAGGTGTGGGCGTGGTTTGCACGTCTGTACTGCGCTGTGTTAGTCCGTGAAGCGGCACCGGTCGGGTCTGTTGGCGTGGGAGCGGCTATGACGGCCGCTGCCCACACAGTACGGGAGACGGCCGCTCCCCCGGCGACCGCCGCCGGCCGGTCGGTCCGCCCGTCCAGCCCGGCTGCCTGGCTGGATGGCCAGTCTGGTGGCTACCCGAGACCGCAGCGCAGTGTAGTGTGGACGGCGTGGAACGGTCCACAGTGAACGGTGGAACGGTGGAGAGCGAGGGCTTGGGACGAGGCGAACGTCTTTGCGCCACACCTGTTAGACGAAAAGGCACGGCACATCCCTTCGTTAGAGGTAGGTGTGGCCAGTGGTGTTGGTTCCGTCGCTGGTGCACGTCCAGCTTGCTGTTGCAGTGGTGCAGTGGGCGTTAGTGCACAGTCCAGCGTCCAAGGCGACTTGCTCGGGGAGTGGCGCCGGTCTACGACCACCTGTTTTCATGCCGCGGTGTTGTGCTAGAGGCTCAGTGGCGAGTTAGAGCCGGTGGATCGGCAGACGGCCGGTCACGGTATACCGCGGTCGACGGGCAGACGTCAGCTGCCGCACGGATTGCGGTGACGTGACGTCAGTCTGTGCCGTGACGTGACGTCAGTATATACCATAGCGTGACTTGATGTGTCGACCCGTGACATAACGGCGAGCGTGACACGCGGGCAGTCACCCTGCCACCGGCGCGCGGCTGCAGTGCAGAACTTTATGTCTGGCTGACCGCCCATAGGCTGTTTTGGAAAATCCAGGTGGCCTCCTGCCTTGCCACCTACCTACATAGCGGAGACTGGGAACGAGCATGCTCAGCTCCTCTGCCGGGATGCGTGTTTCCGTCGTTTTATGCGTTGTTCTTCTGACTCGATGATTGATGGATCGTCTCTAAAGTCTTCTTACCGTCACTACTCACACGGTCGCACACGTGGCTCCCCCGCCGCCGCTGAGGAGTGACGTCACACCTGGTCGGACTGTATGACGTCACACCTGGCTGGGAGGTATGACGTCGGTGGATCGACCGACGCCGGCGCCGAGCCTCCAGCCGGTCGGTCGGTGGTGGGTGGTAGTCTCTGGGTCGACAGTGGTCTCCGCTCCCTGCCCCTCCCCTGTCGAACGGTGACCTCGGCGGCTGTATGGCTGCATGGCCGGGTGAGTGTTTCCCGTCGCTCCTCGCTGGTCCGGCTGTGTCTGGTGATTCTTGTGTCTTCGGTCTACCATTGGGAGAAGGAGGGTGTGGTTGTGTGGTTTGATCGAGCTGGGGGGCGTCTGCAAAACCGGTCAGCTGAGTCATTGCCCCGACTGCTTCCCTGCAGTGGACAGTGGCAGTGACTGCTGGATAAAGTGACTGCTGGATAACCAACCGTCAGGTCTGGTCACCGCTATCAGTAGGGGGGCTTGGTACCGAATTCAGGCTGTCCGTCCCAAGGCTGGCTGTCTGCGGGGTGACACCAACACCACGAAACCTTGCCGTCAGCTGTGCTGAGTGAAACTGTCCGGCGCTGAGCTCTCAGCATGTCTGATCAGCCGTTAAACACATACAACTCATATCCAATGTGATTAGCCTTGACGCTCGCTATACACGAATATTGAGTGTTTGCCTCACCACGGACTAAGCTTCCACGCTCGATCTCATTCATATTGCATCGATCTGTCCATACATTACCGACGGGCGTGACACATCACTTTTCCCCAGTGCGGCTTGTTTGGCTGGCTCCCCGATAACCCCGGTTGGATCGACCGGGCCAGGCGCGGACAGCGGCAGGGAACTGGCGTGCTGGACTGTCTGGTCGTAGTGCGGTGGTCTGTATGTTATTGGACGACCGCCGGTTTCTCGATGATATCTTACCAGTGTTGCCTGTTGGAAGGCAATTCGAGTTTTATCGCTCCAGCATCACACAGTCGTTAGGTTTATGGGCACGCTAGGAGGGAGTGGGGAGCTGTTGATTTCGTCCCGCGCCGCTGCCGCTGGCACACCTGCGTGGCTCGTAACCCCGGTTTGGGGAGGGGAGGGGACTGTCCCCGTTGGTGTTGGTCCCCTGTTGTCCCCCTCCCCTGTCGCACACGCGCTATAGGGTATCTCGAGGGCAGTAGCCAGCCCGCCCTCGCTGCCGGCAGAGTGCGGGGCGGGCGCTGTGCTGGGACCTGCTATACTGCGCTGTGCTGGGACGTGTTATACCGCGTTGTGCTGTGCTTGGTGGTCGATGCCAGGCGATGGGATGACGCTGTCCTCTCTGTGTGCTGATGATGAGTTCGTCTTCGTCCGGTGGTGGTGAGTGCAGCGACGACCCCTGTCTCAAAAACATACTCCGGCGGCGGCGACTGTTTCGTTGCGGTTGCGCTGAGTTACCCGATCCCGTCGATGGGATTCGCATTGCTTGCTGCAGCCGCGTTAGAGCTGCCTGTGTTCTGTGAGCTGTGATCAATGGATCATTGTATACCCGGCAGTGACCGCTGAGGCTTCAGGCTGCCACTGTCGTCCGAATGGCTCTGCCGGTCGATAGCCTAGCGGGCTGGCGGCAGTGGCAGTGGCAGCCGGCGGCGATAGGTTCTAAATCATCCGGCCAGAGCAGATGACGGCGGGACCTCGTGGTGTCCGGGTCACACCAGTCGGCCGGCGGTATTAGAGGGAATAGTCTGGTATGGTCGTTATAGGAAATACGACCAATATAAGGGGAAGTAGCAGCTGACATACGGCCAAGGTGGTTAGAGGTGACGGAACGGCGACACGGTTTTGATAGGAACGCGGAACGTGGAATGTGGACCGTGAAGGGGCCATCTGCTCTGGAACGTCTGCTGAGTTTGCCGTTTTGGGCCTATGACCTCGAACTTATGCAGTGCTGACTCCGCTGTCACCCGTTCCTCGAGCCATCCCTGCTGTCGGGCTGCCGTCACCGCCGCCTCCGTCCTCCGAACGCGAGAAATGGTGCCGATTAGATCTGTCTACCTCTCCATACCTGGCGACGCGGACATGGGCCGACGCGGAACCGGGCGCCGTCCACGACCTTGTGCGCCGCCGCCTCCTCCGACGCTGGAGTCTGGACTCGGGACAGACGGTGTGGGCCGGGCAATGATGGGATGTATAACGCCCAGACGGCCGGATTTGATGCCGTCTCGCCGCGCCCACGCAGCCAATCACGCCGAATTAGTGGTATGGCTGCTCATCAGTCAGTCGGCAGGGCGGAGTGGATGAGATGGGTGCGGCGGTGTTTGGGCAGTGTAGAGAGTGAGAGTGTGATGGACTGGCTGGGGAGGGGATTCTGTTTGTGTCTAGATTGGTCAGTGTGTAGGATTTGGAGGAGGTATCTTGCATCCCGGTCGCTCCTTCGAGACCTTGACGCTGTGGAGAACTCGCTCTTGCCGTGCGCGCCGCAGTCGGACCGGGCCCTGTCTGGAGCCGGGGCCGCTCCTTTCCGTCAGACCATACTCGGAGCTGGGAGCGGGCCGGTAGCGGGGATGGTCTCCATGGTACAGGGCGTCCGTGCCCGCTGTCCGCTATGGTGCTGTAAGGCTCCGCGCTCTAAGACTCCGCCGCCCTGGAACAGTAGTCGAGCTCAGAAATTGCCGTTTTCTGATGATGGCAGACCTGCAGCGCGGAGTCCACTGCACGCTCCGCTGACTGTTCTTCTCTATTAACCTCACGTATCGCCGACTGACCTTACATTGCTCAGCTGGGACACTGTAGGATAGACTGAGCGACTGACTGACAGATGTGACTGAGTGAGCTGACATCTGTAGTACGTGACTGTGACTTATGCTCCAGTCAACACTGAGGTCCTGGGGTGGTGCGGCTGCTGATCACACGCCGTTCATCCGGTTGGGTGGCCTGGCTCGAATCATGACCTGGTAGATTGAGATCCGGTGGGATAAAGTTTGATGGCTCTGCCGCAATGAGAGCGTGGCGGCTATATTCCATAAAGACTGGTACTCGTCGGTGGTCCATTCAGCGATGCTGAGAATCATTGGAGTCTTTTGGGATATAATCTAATCATGGTGTGTAAAATGGTATGAGCGTGACGATTCTCTTCCCTTCCTCCCGCATATGTAACATTTTCCCTAGTTTGTGTGTTGCTGACTGCTGAGTGTCTGACTCTCACTCGTCTATTTCTGACACCTTTGAAATTCGTCCCCCGTGTTTTGGTGTTGCTGTATCTGACTCTCCGGTATCAGCTGCAGTCCACCGTCTGTGATATCCTTCTCCTGTGTGTATTATGTCGTTGTGGCTGACTCCTGTCCCTATATTTGACCCTATTGTTCCTCTGTCTCCCTCTCTCAGTGCGGAGGAGTCGGCTTCGGGCGTGCCGCGGCAGCTCACCTCGGTCAAATCGGACCTGATCGCCTTCTCACCGAAGAAGGAGGACGAGCAGGTGCCGACACCGCCGCCGGTGGCCGCCCCGGCCGCCCCCGCCCCCGCCCCCGCCGCCGCCTCGGCCGTGCCGGCGGACCTCAGCGCTTCCCAGCCGCCCACCCCCACGGACGGCAGCGTGGCCGAGCTGCTGAAGAAACAGGAGCTCTACTTCCAGGATCAGGTGAGCCGGCGAGTCAGGGAAGGCGGCACAGTGGCGCATACAGCCGGCCTCGCAGGGTGTCGATGTAAATACGACCAAGGACCGGCCGATTTAAATAATGAAGTTCCGGGTGTTTTATGATTTAGTGATAGTATCTATTCCATATAGCTCTCAACCTTTTAGGGAGGTGTCGTTCTTTGTTGGTCTTTTACCACCCCAGCTCGGGTGACCTCTGCACTGTCGTCGTGCGGGCCCTTTGACCCCCGTACCGCCCGGGGCCTGACCCCAGGGTTTGACCCGAGTGACACGGTGTCTGGGACCTTTTCAGCTGCTGAAACGTGACCGGGAGATGACGGCGATGAAGAACGCCAATGCCAAGCTGATCCAGCAGGCCTCCAGCAACAAAACGGAAAAGGTGAGAGAGGTGGGAGAAGGTGGAAGAGGGGATGGAGACGGTGGCAGAGGGGTTAGGAGGTGGTAGAAGGAGTGGGATAGGGCGAGAGAAACATGTGTGAGACGGTGAGAGAAGGGACGAGAGAAGGCGAGTATTAGGAGGCGAAAGCAGATGGCGGGTTGGGCGGATGCCCTCATGCAATTTGCACGGCTCTGAATCTCGGAAGGCGTTCAACTAACCAGATTAACCTAAAGCTGGCAACCTGAACCAACCTCATCAGCAATGATGTGGGCTAGATGTCTGTTCCGTGATGATAGTTTCCGCGACTCTCGCGTCAAACACGGAAGGCAAACGGGAAAGGAGCAACAAAGAGCGATAAAATTAGGTGTGAAAATGAATACGAGAATAGCGTTAACTGAAGACGCCACTGTATCCTACCCAAGCTTCGCCCTCTCAGTGCCTAACAGGTGTCGGGCGCAGTTCATCACAGAGGCGCGACCACTGTTGTGTTGTGCTCCCTGCCGGTGATGCACTGCCGGTGCTGCCTCCCCGCCCGCCGCTGTGTTTTGTAGTCCTTCCCGCCGCCTCTGTTACCGGGCTGCGGGGTCACAAGAAATGGCGCGAACCGGCGCTGATGGCGCGCGCCGCCGCGTGGCGGTGGCGGGACGTCAGCTGGCGCTTTGTGCCGACTGACGGCCTGGTGGCTGGGGGAGGGTTAATGGGCCCAGTGGGTGGGGGTGAGGGGTCCGGACAGGACTGGTGGGTCATGGTCGGGTCACCCGTCTGGGAGGTGCGAGATGGGTAACCAGTTTCCTACACCGGACAGAAGTGCGGTCAGTGGGTTGGGGCTGTGGCTGGGTAAACGCTCCCACGAGGATAAGATATTTTCATGAGATTTTTAGCTCTCTATTTGTGTTGCACTGAACCATCATGTTCTTCCGGTTCTAGCGGGTTATTGCATTATGTTAGCTTATCTCTAGGATTAGAAGTCTGGCCTGGTTTGGACTGTTGCTGTCCCTCTGTCGTTTCCTTGTATGCCTTTTGAAGCATATTTTAGTACGATGATAAGGACCTCTCCTTCTTGTGAATTCACAGATACTCTTGGCACTCTATTTCATACAGAACCTCCTTTACGGCGCCCGATTGCGCCCGCTTATTGCGCGGCGTTCGGACGAACCAGTAAACCCCACGCCAGTCGCTAGATGTCACCACCTACCCCTCCTTCCCCAGGTTCTGGAGCGGGTCGCCCACCTGGTGGCGTCACTGACCAACGAGAACGGCCGTCTGCGACACGAGCTGAACACTGACCGCGCGCGGCTGGTGGCGGAGCGGGATGAGGCGCGACAGGAGGTGGCAAACGCAGAGGCCATGTTCGCCGATCTGCACAGGTGAGCGAGGAGAGAGGGAGGGAGGGAGGGAGAGAGAGAGCGAGAGCGAGAGAGAGAGAGAGAGAGGAGGGAGAGAGAGAGGAGAGAGAGAGATAGAGAGAGAGAGAGAGAGAGAGAGAGAGAGAGGAGAGATAGAGAGAGAGAGAGAGAGAGAGAGAGAGAGAGAGAGAGAGAGAGAGAGAGAGGCGGCCAACGCCGAGGCCATGTGAGAGAGTGAGTGAAAAGGGAGAGTTATGTAGGGAGGTGGCCAACGCTGAGGCTATGTTCGCCGATCTGCACAGGTGAGCGAGGAGAGAGGGAGGGAGAGAGAGAGAGAGAGAGAGAGAGAGAGAGAGAGAGAGAGAGAGAGAGAGAGAGAGAGAGAGAGAGAGAGAGAGAGAGAGAGAGAGAGAGAGCGAGAGAGAGAGAGGGGGGAGGGAGGCGGCCAACGCTGAGGCTATGTTCGCCGACCTGCACAGGTGAGAGGAGGGGAGAAAGAGAGGAGACAGGGAGAGAGAGTGGTCGCTGGAATATCCAGATGTGAGGAGGATAGGGAGGAGGGAGGAGGGTAGCTGGGACCTGCACCTGTGGATGAGGGAAGTAGGGGTAGAGGAAGACGTGATGTCGAAGGTGGTCGCTGAGGTCTGCACTGTGCAGGATAGGTGAGCTTGAGAGCTAGGGTTGGGTGCTGTTGATTATTGAAGTTGGTTCCTCACAATACAAGAAAGATAAAGTATGGGTAGGGATAAAGTTTGAGCAATATTGCACGGCAATTGGCAGTGTTCAAATTTTGACTCGCCCTCTAGGTATCGTTGACATCACCATTTATGACCTGTCTAAGCCATCCACTAACGCCCTAACGCCCCTCCTCCCTCCCGTCCACAGGAAGTACGAAAAGAGCAAGGCCGTGCTGCAGGAGCACCGGCGGTGCGCCGATCAGAACCAGGCGGCCTTCCGGGACGCCAAGGAGAGAGCCGAGCGGGAGAAGCAGCGCTTCGACATGCTGCGGCAACACTCTGAGGATGCCCATGCCAGGTAGGGAGCGGGTGGAAAGGGCAGGTCGGGGTAGACCGCGTCCCGAAATACGAGCTTGACTTCCAGTAAGCCTCAAGACTGAATTGAGGAGCGCTGATTCAGTATCATTTTGAATTATAGTAGAATATTTAAGTTTTGTGTCTCAAATGGATACTGTTGTAGTTTGATGACTATTACAGTGCTTTTATGACTGAATAGTCAGTGAATACTGATGACTGCAGAGTATCGCGTTGCTCAATCTGTCCCCGTCAGAGTCTAACCGTGCTCAATCTGGCCCGCAGGCTCGAGGCGGATTACGAGGCGGCAGAGAAGGCACACCAGACCGAACTGCTGACGCTCAAAGCCAAACTGCAGCTGGCGGAGAATCGCGAGGCAAAGCTGGAGCGCGAGAATCGCGAAATTACCGCCATCTGCGACGAGCTCATACAGAAGATGGGCGCCGGCGCCGCGCGCTGACCGCCCCTGCTGCAAGACTCGGTGGCGTCACCTGGGCAAACAGAACCTCCAACGTCGGCCGCTAGATGGCACGGCCGGCGTGAAGTGCCTCGTCGAGACTGGGATGACCGACGCGGCCGTAGTGTGAAATGACGTGACAGATATAAATGAGAAGCCGACTCTTTGGTTACAAAATCTGGACCTGATTTTGGCTAAGAAAGCTGAAATAATGTGGCATGTGACTAATCCTCGAGCTAAGTCTGCAACTAACGGCCGTATCGGGCGGTGGGTGAGTGGCTGAACAGTGACAGACGGACGGAGCGCGCCGGCGCTCTGCAGTGTGAGTGGGTCGGTCTGGCGGCGCCGTGCCGGCAGCGCGGCGGTCCTGTGATACAGCGGCCGCGCCCGGGGCTGCCGGGGACATTCCCGACTCTCCGCCGCCGACGGACGGGACGGGACAGACCAGTGCGTGCTGCGGCCGGGACGGCAGCGTCCCGAGACACGGTCATGTGTCGACTCTGCGACCTCCTTTGTTGGAGCTGTCGATACGAGTCGCCAGCTGTGACCGTCATGGATCGCCTCAGTGTAGTAATTCGCTCATGGTGTAACACTAATCGCTTGAAATGTTCATATACTATTCGTCTTCTGGAGTCGTTGCACAAACTTTGTGCGAAGGATGACTTATTTTTCCTGTTATTGAATACATGAAATTTTGTCCATATTGTGTGTTAAATGCTGTGACAAGGACGAAACATATCCTTCCGACGTCAACGGTTAATTGTTCTCCCCGCTCAGCGGCTGACGCTGGGCTGTTGTTTTTTTTTCGGGCTGGCATTCTCATTCGCGCCGGTAAAGTGGGCAATGGGCACAGCTTCGCATCCGTGGCGGTCTCAGCCAACTTCGCCCTAGTGAGGGGGGGCATATGTTACCGCCCACTTCTAACTCAAAAACTAAGAGGGCTAGAAAGACGCGGTAAAAAACAGTCGATAGCTCTCAATGCGTACGTTTGAAAGTATTTCGGTCATTTTTCACCTTAGAGCAATATTGGGGTCACCAGAGGTCATCAAAGGTCAAAATTTGCCAATTGTCATCATATTTTTCAGAAAACATGCCGCTATCTCAGGAACTATGGTAGCTAGAATACCGCATGGAAATTGGAAACGCAATCGATAGCTTTTGAACTCCTCTTTTGAAAAGGTCATTATCAATATTGACCTCAGGTCAACGGTTTTTTTTTTCATTTTTTTTTAATTTTTTTGTCCCATACCTATTGAATTGTCCACCATGTGAAACATAGTGGAACAGGTATGCAGGAGTGCCCTTCCATGCCCATGTGACCTGGCTACGTTAAGTACCATGGAACTTCATTCAAGGAGGGGAATTCAAGCACATTAGGTCACATCACTCCCCGCTCTTTTTTCAAGCTATGGACAGCCCGCCACCACAGGTATTAGTAAAAAGGTTACCCCTGGGGACCCAGCAGACAGATAGCATGGCTAGTGACGTCCGCTGAGTACCCAGGGCTGACAATGGTTAGGTAGGATAAGGACAAAAAAGACGAATGAAAAAAGTTTAGCCTCCAGAGGGCAAAAACTCCAAAAATAGCTGTTTTTACGAAAAGTGTTTTTCGACAATAACTTTCGACTACAAAAAGCCACGACATTTCCATTGCCAGAATCGTGTTCTCCTTGCCGAGACGCGTCGAATGAACAATAATTTGACCTTGAAAGGTCAACTTGAAAATTTGACCTCAGGTCAAGGTCATGACCTTACCGGAAAAGGTCATGTTGCATATCAGTCGATGCGTCTCAACAAGACAAACACAATGAGACCATCCCCAGCGTTCTATCTCTTTCCAATCGCGAGTTATTGGCAAAAAACTGTTTGTAGCCTCAAGTGACCTCGGATGACCTGTCTAGAGGCTATCAGCAAAAAGGACACCTTGGTCATCACGAGTGGACTAAATCATTGTGATTCTGAAATATTTGGACTGTTCCGATGCGTACACACGGATCTAGAGGCATTTTATTTTTTTTCTCCATTGACTTGTAATGGAAAGGTCACGCCACTGACCTGACCTTAGGTCACGGATATAAAAAATCCGAGATATACAAATTGTAGGCGCCCATAACAGCATTCAATCCACCAAGTTTAAAACCTTTCTGACAAACACTGCAGGCTGGACATGATTGCAAACTTTTTTTAGGCTTGGTCAGTTAACTTGACCTGGTGACCTGACCTGACATGACCTGGGGTCAAAAATTTCACACATTGTCCAAAATTGATGTACCAAAAGCTACCCCAAGCGGCGCGGCGCTACGCGCCGCGGTTTTTTATTCACACGCAAAAAACGCGACAGGGTGGTAACATATGCCCCCCCCCCCCCACTGGGGCGAAGGTTAACCCGCGCCCTGCTGGGGGTCCTGGATTTCCACGCCCTGCTGGGGGGGGGGGTGTTTGAACACCCCCCCTTGTAACTCGGCTCCTGGGCCACGTAGCGATACGCGGAAGGCGGCGTTCGAAAGAGCGTAAAAAATAATGACGAAATCACTTCGGTCAATTTTTTGGTCAGGTCAAAGGTCAGGTCACCAGAGGTCATTGAAGGCAAAATTTCGCCGATTTCCAGGTCGAATGTCGAAAATTTCCAAGAAGCCAACGCGTAACTCGGGAACCAATAGAGCTACAGCGCCGCGGAAAAGCGCATTCGATAGCCCTATAACGCCCTTTCTGAGTAATTCTCTCAGATTTGACCTAACGTCAACGGTTTTGCCTGCAGGGGGCAAAAACTGCAAAAATAGCCGATTTTTTCGAAAACAGTTTTTCTGCAATAACTTTTGACCCAAGCCTTGTACGAGCTTACTTTTACCGGCATCGTGTTCCTCTCGTCAAGACGCATCGAATGAACTATGACTTGACCTTGAAAGGTCAACTTGAAAATTTGACCTCAGGTCAAGGTCATGACCTGACCGGAAAGGGTCATGTTGCATATCAGTCGATCCGTATCGTCGAGCTGAACACATCTAAGGCGTTTTCATCGCTCTAGCATGCCTCTATCAAAAGTTATTTGCGAAAAACTGTTAGATACCATTCGTGACCTAAGATGACCTCAGGGCATAAACAAGGGTCACGGACACCATTTTCAAGTTCAGTGTGTCTAAACCACTTGTAATTCGGTGTTTGGGAGTGTTTATAATGTCTTTCATCCAAAAGAGGCGCATTTCAATTTTCTCCCATTGACTTATAGGTAATGGGGAGGTCGCAAAATTGACCTGACCTTAGGTCATCGATATCAAAATTCTGAGATATACATTTTGTACATGCTATTGCTCTTAGCAATCGCTGAAAGTTTCAAAGCGATCGGTCACTCGGTGTAGCTATGACAGACATTGAAAGTTTTTATGAGGTGAGGTCACCTCAAGTGACCTGGTGACCTGACCTTGAATGACCTTGGTCTGAAATTTTCACGACATGTGTAGAATTGATGTATGATAAGGTGTACCAAAAACGGCGGCGCTCCGCGCCGCCGTTTTTGAGATATTCGCGAAAAACCACAAGGGGGGGTGTTCAAACACCCCCCCCCCAGCAGGGCGCGGGTTAAGACATTCGACCGTTTGGGACTAATGGGCTGGATTAAAGCACATAAAAGGGTCCCATTTTCATCGTATTTAGAACTGTTTCAATCGAGTATCACGGCAAAACGGGTCTCACTCAAGACAACGTTCGCCACCCTTCATGGGTATTGGAATCGTTTTTAACCGCGCACTTTGTACTTTCCATACCTATGGAATAACGCCTGATGTAACGCTAATAATCTGATATTTCCTTATAAGTACGTGCTCAGAGCTGAGAATGTCACACAGCCCAGCCCCCGACACTGCGTAAACAAAGACCGGAGAGGACCGTCCGATGACTCTACTGGGGAATAGCCATAGCCATAGATGGTCGTGCGCGTACTTGACCTTGTGTCTCGTCTGAGAGAGGCCACTTCAGAGGAACGTTGATGAGGATGAGTCAGTAATGGATATCTGGCCGGCTGTCGCCGATCATTGCGCATTTTTGGATCCGTCGCCATGACAGGAAGCATCTAGGTACATTCCACATCTCATCCAATGCTTAATGTAGAAGTCTAAGGAATATTTTATCGTACTTTCTCATTCTTTCTATTGTGTTTAATAGTTCAGTGATATGTTTTTAAGATTGCGGATTAAAACGATTGCGGGTCATAACACATTTAACCCGCGCGGGGCTGGGGGGGGGTAAATTTTACCCCCCCCTCGCGAATATTTGCAATATCTCAAAAACGGCGGCGCGCAGCGCCGCCAAACTTTCAGTACCTTTTCTTACATCAATTTGACACGTTCCCTGAAAATTTGAGCGAAATCCGTCGGAAAATTTTTGAGAAATTGACGTTTTAGTGACGTCATGTTCGCCATTTTCGCCTAAAAAACGGCAAAAGTTCAAACGCCGCTAACATCTTCATTTTTAAAGGAATCGAGACGTAACAAAAAAGGATATACGTAATTCTACTTTGTCTATCAAATGGCTATCTCGGTTTTTTTTGAAAATTTTGGATTTTGGCCCAATTTTTTTTCTTCAAAAAACTTACTTTTTTGGGAAAATAATTATAAAATCCAAAATTTTGAGTGTATCGAAAAAAACGGAATATATGTAAGAGTAGTGGTCTATGTGCACCTACATACCAAGTTTTAGAAGAATCGGTTCAAAAATGTGGGAGTTATTCAAAATTGTATGACGTCACGACACACAAAATTTTTAAAAATGACTTTTTTGGAAGTTCTAGACCTTGTACGGAAACAAAAATAGCACCATTCGATTCGCCGTGAAAAACTGCATCAGAAAGACACCTTTTTAGGCCTTAACAACCAACTTCAAAATTTGACCTCACTTGACCTGACCTTGACCTGACCTCGGCCTGAAACTCATCCAGAGGTGGTCCATATCACTTATTGAGTGTGCCTATTGAATTCTATGAGTAAAATGACCCATAAAACATGTGTCGCACATGCCCTTTTCTATATTTTGTTTTTGGTGACCTGACCTGACCTGACCTGACCTTGACCTTGACCTTTGAATGATATTTTATGCAACGAATATTGTCTTGGTAGCCTAAGAACACGTTTTGGGCGATCAGTCTCAGTCCATGACTCCATTCTTCGGCAACTACGGTGCAAGGCCGATACTGTAGGAACTTGCAATTTGTACCCTTGACCTGACCTTGACCTTGACCTCAAACTTAAGATTAAGTACATGTTTTTAGTTGTTCGTGATGAGATCTTTCGATTGCCGTTTGAATTTTCCAAATCGGACCATTAGTTCGGGAGATAACAGGGGGGTAAAATTTACCCCCCCCCCCCCCCCCCCAGCCCCGCGCGTTCGGCTGGAGACCCCAGCCCCGCGCGGGTTAAACCACATGTTTTCTTCTGACTTTAGAACATATTCATTCATACGCAAGTGCCTTATCTCATCGTCTACGTTGTATTTCCCTTTCATGCGTCACACGTTTCTGGTCATCTCACCAGCTGTTACAAATCACACGCTATACTCCTCAGATGGCCCCCGTCACATTCTTCACATCACATTTTACGCACGTCTTCTGCTCATGTCACGAGTCGGTTCTGACTCGAAGCGCTGCGGAATCCTCCGTACCTCCGCGTCGTTAACGTTATAGCGCTAAACGGTGCCTACGGGGATGTCTGATTTATGGTCAAACTAGCCAATGCAGCAATACTTTGAAAACCCGGCCGCGGGTAGGAGAAAGTGACGCCAGAGAGAGACCGAGGGTCCTCCGAGTTTATGGGATCGCCTCGCACCCTCGGATAATTGTTCCAGTACGTGCTGGCATGAATATTGAATAATCCTTCCAGGAATAGAGGATTCGACGGACCGGATGGACGGAGCATACTGCCCTAAAAAAAGGCTGTGGGATAAATAAAAAGACTGACAATATGGCACTCAGAAAGAGCAGCGACACTTGCCTTTCCGCCTCCTTCCCTCCACCTCCCTCTCCTTTCCCTCTCCATCTTTCTCTCTCTCTCTCTCTCTCTCTCTCTCTCTCTCTCTCTCTCTCTCTCTCTCTCTCTCTCTCTCTCTCTCTCTCTCTCTCTCTCTCTCTCTCTCTCTCTCTCTCTCTCTCTCTCTCTCTCTCTCTCTCTCTCATCACTCTACCTTTTTCGTAACAGACTGATTTGGTCTGCTCACACAGCTGTTACTCTCTCCGCTTCCTACACCCAACACCGTCCATTTAGGGGCTCTATAGTAGACGGCTGCGAAACGAACTAGCTCTAATTGGGTCGCAGACTGAGACAGATCTCTCAGAAAGTGGTCTGGTCCAATGAAGACGCCGAGATGGACACTAAAATTTAGTTATGCTATATAAGTAGGTACCTTTTCAGGGAGAAAGCCTTTGGAAAATGGGGTCTGGTCCGCGTACGTTCGGAACAAATCGTCGTCTTTCGACAGTCATGAGGCCTCGGGCTTTGACGTGAGCGCTTGTCTTTTTTGCTTCAACAATTGTAACGGTGCCAGCTGTGACTCGGTTGCAAACAGGATGCTGTATTTTCATTGTTCATTCGCATTGCAAATGCTGTTCGCACTTAATTTCAAAATATGATTAATCAATGATTAATTACTTAGGCTGATTGCATCCATGAGGAATTATATTATTCACTGATCGATAAATACCTTATAGCCTTTCATGAACAAGGAAGTTTGCAGGTGTTATTTAATCACGACGGCAACGTTAACCCTAGAACGCCTAGGGGGGGGGGGGGGTTGTATCAATCCCCCCCCTGAGGTTTTTTCGAAGTGCACGCTAAACGGCTTGTCGTAGCGGGCTGAAATTTTCAATACCCTCTGGGGCAGCCTTTGCGCATCTTTTGCCGAAAAAAAATTGATCGGGTCATGTCAGGTCACGGAGTTATGACGTCATAAGAGGTACAGCCTCCGGCCGGATTTTCACAAACTGAGTGCCAACGCCCGAGGTTTCCTGCCGGTGGTACGGACATCGGTTGATGGATCGTGATGAAACTTCCCATGCATGTTGGGGCAAGTATTGGCTATCATATGGTATAAGAAATTTGACCGGGTCAGGTCAGGTCACGGAGCTATGACGTCACAAGAGGAACAGCGTCCGGTACTATTTTTGAAAAGCGCCCGAACCACTATTTTGCTAATTCTTGTCACCTCAATGGGAATATGCAGCAATATTAGCTTCTATAGGGAGCAAATGGACCTCCCAAATCCAAAAATAAAATCAGATTTCAAAAATTTAAATTTTGATTTTTCGAATTTCTGCCGCCGACTGTGACCTTGCCGACTTCCGGCGCTCCCAACGCGCCATTTTTAGAGCTAGGGAAACGAAATACATACCAAACGATAGAAAATTGATCAAGGAACACGATAGTGAAGGTTTCAAGTCGATATCTCCAACCGTTTTGCCGCAATCGCCGCCGAAAGTTGAAAAAAGTCTATTTTTCCGAAAATTTGACCTTTGACCGGTCAAAAGTAGGTCAAATGTTGACCTAGGACCAAAAAATATACCACCAATCGCGAGATCTCGTTGAGAGCAATCCGTTGGTTTTTTCCGCTAAGCTCTACGACCTTCCGTTTCGAAACGCCAGGGGGGGGTCGTAACAACCCCCCCCCCCTGGTCGTTCGTGTTATGAGAAATGGCCTGGTCGTGCGAGGGTTAACGTGAATGGCGAACATGACCACACGTCACGAAATTAGCAGTTTCCTTGGGTCAAACCTGAAGTACGACTTGTAGGGGAGAGTGGGGAAAGATGCCCAGGGTTTTACTATGTCATATATTATTCGAAAATGACGATCGGAAAGCAAAAACTTGGAGTTTCAACGGAAGCCGACATCATTTTCTCCAAAAATATCACACGTTCGTGCCTGAAATATGATAACTTTTTTTGCTATTAAGCATTTTCCTGAAGAAGTCAAAGGGGGCATCTTACCCCACAGGGTGGGAAAGACGCCCCCTGGCGTTGGGGAAGATGCCCCCTGCACTATAAGTGACATAAATGGGCACGTGAATCGCCTGAACGAATCAGTAGTCCCTTCGAGCCTGCAGTAGACACCAAACGTCATCGTAAGGGCCCTCAAAAGTGGTCGTAAGGTGCTTCAGAGGTCATCGTTAGGGTCATCATAGTCCAGCGCGGCCAAACAAGCCTCTGTGGTGGCGTTCGTAGACCACTGTAGGGCCCTTATAGTTCTTCATGATGCTTGAGGGCCCTCGAGCCCATCGTGGGGACCTCAGATGCCAGCGCGGCCCGTGGAGCCAACGTGGGAGCCCTCAAAGGATATCGTGAGGGGCCCTGGAGCCAATAATGGGGCCCACCGAGGCCGTCGTGAGGGCTCTCAGAGTCAGATGCCGCCCAAAATGTCGCTGTGTGGGCCGAGAGACCGGCATGGGGAGCACCCGACCGTACTGAACTCTCAATAGTCCCAGACCGGCTTTTGTCTCTCATCACAAGCATGTAATAAATGATTTGACGGGCTGCTTGAAGGACAGCCTACGGATTTAGGGGGGCGTCTTTCCCCATCAGGACAGGGGGCATCTTATCCCAAGGTACCGAAGTAACATTAAATCAGTACAATATGTTAGCCATAAAACTACACCCTGAAACAAACTGTTTGGGACACAGTACACGCATGTTAATGTATCACGACTATATCAAGGGACGCAAAAATTATCTACCTTCTTTGGTATTTACAATGTTTTAACACCAAAATATTTTTCGAAAGCAGCAAATAAAAAACATGCATTCACCAGCCAGCCGTTGCCCAACTGAGCTTCGCAAATTTTTGTGCAGTTAACAAGGCAGGCTTCCGCTTTACGCTAAGAACATTAATTTCCGGGTTCAATTCTTTGTTTCGCCGCTAGAGGGGGTGGGGCGTCTTTCCCACCCTGGGCATCTTACCCCACTCTCCCCTACCGTGGAAATTCCATGTTTCATCGTAGAGCCACAGTTGACTGAGTTTCGCTCTCGTTTGCGCCTCGCTTCTATTCGTCATCGAAGGGCAGCGCTCGGCGCTCGCTATCCTGCTTCACACAGCTCCGTGAGTGACGTCACCACGGGCGGTGGGCCAATCAGCGCGGGCCGGTCGTGGTGACGTCACTGTGGCTCGCCTCACGGAGCAGTGGTGTGCGGGGCACGGAACTGACGACACGTTAGTGCGGTCTTGGCGCTCGGTTCGTTTGCAGCAAGGAGCAACTGTCTCGACCCTCCGTCGTCAGAACCATGGAGCACATGAGGAGGTAGGTCGCAGCGGGGGTTTGTGGGTCAGTGACGGTCAGATGACTACCATCGACTAACTAATCACTAATCAGACATGTCAATGTATGTCGGTTGTAAGTTGTCAATGACATTATGCAATATAGAAGTCACGCTGAAAAAATACTTCAACCACTAAATCACTTTTTATTAAAGCAAGTTAAAAATTTCATTTGATAGCCTACTGATAAAATATAATGTTTAAATTCCTTTGATGTTGGTTGGCCATAACCCTTACCTAATTAAACAATTAATTACGTTAACTGAAAACAAACCATATGTATAGTGCGGTAAATAGAAACCTGTTCACTTTGATTCAAACGGCCAAACGGCATTATATTATGCACTTCAATTTTATGCATTAAAAATGCCTACCTACTTTTAATAATAACAATGATAATGATAATAATGGTACCTAATACGATCGGTACGTTTTCCTGGTGATTACCCTGAAACATGGCATGAGTGCATGTTACGAGTTTATACACTATGCTACCGTATCATAATGTTAAGATTCAAGTCGATTTTTCTTTTGTTTCATGTTCGAGGCCAGAGTATTGGGAATATCTAATGTCTATGTCTTAAAAAAGTTCAGTGTCATAATAGTTCGGAGCACGAGCACAAACAACACTCTAATCGACATATGCTGAAATACATATTCGAACTACTGATAAGCCAAGGCCGTTCATATGTGGATGACAAGCTAGCAGACCGGTTTGAAGTGTAAAGTTTGGCCACAAGGTCAATCGACACGAGGAAAGTTACCTTTAACGTGCGCATTTCCTTGCTTTAACAATTCCACAAAAGCCTTGAACGAGGGAATTAGTTTATCGATTAGTCACCACTCGCCAAACAAGTTTCTTACCGTTGTTATTTTGACCAAGGCGCAGTTATGTTTTCGCTTTGATTTATTACGTTAATTACCTACCGTAAGTATCTGTAAATCCTTTTCCCATCACTCAGCCGGTGTCCCCAGCCGGTCTATAAGCTGCTTTCTTCAGGTGATATGGCCCGTTCCCCGCTTTAATTTCTCCCATCGCCATGAACCCGTACTTCTGTCTGTCGCACAATGACAGCGTATTTTCTCGGAGAAATTTCCTTTTACGTGTGTGACACAAATCTGCACACGAAGTGCACTAGCGGCTTTGTGCGAGCTCAGCGTTTTCCCTGCACTAAGGACCATGGATCAGACATGTCACTTTCCTTCCTTGTTACTCGAGCAAGCTGAAACGCTTTAGGCGAGCGTTGCTGGCTTGTTAGATGCCAGGTGTCAATGTGTTCTGTTTTAGTCCTTCACGGTAGTGGCTATCAGAAGGTGTGAACTAATGCTGCAGAGTACGACCTGTTGAACAGGTATTTATTGACTGTTTACATGCGACGCCTTGTATGCATTCCTTATAAGTCAGCAGAGAATCGAGAGGCTTGTTTTATTGAGCCGTCATGTTCGTGGCATGTGAGACCCGCACCCTTCTCGAGAACTGCCGTCCGCTGGGGGATTAAAAGCACCGGTCGAGCCGAGGTGACCATCGTACCGCTTATAGCAATGTACCGGTCCTTAGAGAGAAACAGGCAGACGTCTCTTCTAGTTCCTCGTATCAAAACCCCTATATGACATTTTGCAGCGCTTTTACTATCGGCAGAAATTGTAGTCGTAACTACGTAGTGAAGTGGATTGAACACGTGACGGCTTGTCACATTTGTGCTCCAATCTCTATCGCATCATTAAAGCAGGGGCACTGGCATGTTCACCGTTGCAGCGGCCAGTATTCTGCCGTAACATCGTAAACGGATAGTGCACAGACATTGGACAGGAATTTGATTTAACAGACCATAAACGTAACGCAGACGGTTTCCTGCGAGATACTGGGCGGGCAGACGGCAGATCAAGATATTGCACTGATGAACTAATCTCAATGGCTGAGGGGTGGACCTCGCAAGACGTCGTCAGTGATAAAGAACAGCTGGGGCTCCCCATGCTGACAAGACGCATCGAGAGCATATTAGGTGGTTGTATAAACATCGTTAAAGTCTCACTACGATGATTGCACTTCCTCTGGTCATTTTAATGCATGCCTCAATATACAATATAGGTATAGACGCTAAAACACTTAAAAACATTTTTCATTATGCAAAAGAATATAGGAGTGCTTCAACCGAAGAGTTGTCCAAAAGGAAACAGGTTTTATATTTGAATTAATGAAATAAATGTATTGTATCATATGTGTAAATGCAATGATCCTTATCGTTTCTTCTCCACGGATGATAACTTGACCTATTCACAAGAGATTAGATGCCAGCTCAAGTGTATCTTCCCTTAGCCCACGATTGCTGCAATATTTCAGGACAGAATTTTTGTCGTCTTGTGATGTAGTCATCACTCATACAAATATTGTTTGCTCCGCAGCGCAACAGGTAGGCGTATACGCATCTCTCAGCTTGATGAGCTATTTGTCAGAGACACTCCGCTCCAGAGCAAACACCGAGATCAAAATTCAGAGCATCCTTTATGCGTCTTGTCTCGGCCATCATTATCCACTTGGTATAGCGAGTCGCCAGTGACAACGGAACTTTAGTTGCTCAGAGAACTCGTGCACCGGAAGGCTGATGGAATAAACCGGGGCGAGTCTACGACAGTGTTCGTTGGTGGGGCCGTTTTTGGCGACTGATGAATTGTTGGCTGTCTCGTCGGGCACACAGCCGACGCTCTATTGTAAATACGTTCCTGAACACCTCTGCGGCTCGGCAAATATTTAGCCAGTAGCTGTCACTTGACCCTGCTACGGCGATGGGTGGTCCGTCCACTCTGCCCAAGGGCGCCTGCTGCCGAGCGCTCGCCCGCAGCTGCAGTGTGTGTGCCCACGTCTTATATTGACATAAGGCCGTTTTAGGGTGGAAATGTCAACAGTTCTTAGCTTTCAAACATTCCCTCACATGTCATATGTAAGAAGTTAATTATATTTTTCATAAGAGAGAATGAATTTCTTGTTAGTGGTTAGAGTCACCACACTGAAAACAATTTCACCCAAAACTGGCGAGTAAACCGGTGCCTCGCGGGTACCCCTATCCGCAACCATTTTTAACCACCCTCCCAGGAGTCAATTTAGGACCTAACACTTTCGCAATTCACTCTGGAGAGTAGTAACCCTCCACGACTATTCGCGCACCAGTGGCTCGCGACCCCTCCATCGAAAGGTATTCATCGACGCCTACCTGGCAGCAGCGCCCCACAAACCCCTAGGAGATGGGGTTACCCTCCACGCCTACCCTTCGCCGACCAAGTCACGAGGGCCAAAAAAACTCCCACGTTTGACCATATTTGCGGGAAAATATCTATATTATAGCAATCTCACACCTAGAAAACATCGGTGAGAAAGTTTCACATCGGTGGGAAAGGTCAAATCGAATTCCCATAGAAATTTCGACATGACTCAGTCACCGGCAGTCATGCAGACCAGGCGCGGATACAAGGGGGGGGGGGCCATGGGGGCCATGGCCCCCCCCCTTGGCCGATTTTTTTCAAAAATAAAATAAAAAGTTAAAAAGTTAAAAAGCTGAAAAGGGGGCCTCCTGAAAATAAAGTGGCCGAAATCCGATGAGTTCTTTTTTAACCTACCCACTTAGTTATTTCTTAGAAGACTAGCTGAGAAGACTTCTTTGTTAGAAGATTGGTAAAGCTTTTCATAACTTGGAGGTCTCTTATACTCACAGAGATGACCACTTTTACAGGGCCTCCTAACCTGCACAGAGGGCCTCCAAGCCTGCACAGATGTTGAGATGTTGCCTGAACAGCTAGATAAGCTCAATAGACGCAGTTTTTTTTTTGGGGGGGGCCAACAAGTGGGAAGATGGGGCCTCCAACAGGTGGGATTATGGGGGGGGGCCTCCAGGTTTCTAATGGCCCCTCCCTTGGAGATTTTCTGGATCCGCCCCTGATGCAGACCGCCCGAAATCAAGAAGATGTGTCGCCGCTGCTTTCGTGACCTATATAGGAATCAAAATGGTCTCACTTGGTAGTTTCGGAAGAAAAGCGTTGCCAATCTTCCCGTGATGAATATTGCAGAGGTTTTAAAGATGCACCCTAACAATTGTACGTTCGCCCCTGCACTTGAAAACCGCCAAACAATGTGTCAACATATCATTGGTTCAAAAAAAAGTTAAAAAATTGTTGTAGTTCAAAACTGTATGAGACAACGCCATCTAGTTGTAACAGTAGATCCAACTCCTTCAGGGCAGGTTATGTAAAGGTTCGCCATCCACGGATACGCGTTTACGATACCTCGAGTAGTTCCAACTCTTTCAGTGAGGGCTGTGCCAATGACTCGACACCCGCGGGGACAATATCCGGTGCTGGGTAGCTACCTTACTGCAGACTGTGGGTACAGTGCATATTTACGAGTAATAAGGCAGGCAAGTCTGCTTACTCTCTAGCTAGAATCTGGACATGGCGAGTTAATACACATATACCACCCGCAGAGCAACGCTTAATTCGCCAGCTTCGGGTGAAATTGTTTTCAGTGCATAACACATCCGCAGTCCGCACCAATGACTTCAGTAAAAATGTGCCACGGGGAATGCCACGCTTGAATTGCCCGGAATAGGATCCATCACCTTGCATTCGGCCCCTATATGTCATATGACAGTTGACACAGAAACCCTTTTGTGCCCTGCACAGCGCACAGTCCACGTTTCACAATTCTTTGATTCTCCTAGGATACAGGTTGGAAGGCACAACCGAAAAGCTGTTTTCACCGTTTCACTGGCATACCAACGTTTGCACAATAGCACAATACTCTATGTTAGCTCACAATAGAGCTATACTTACATGACAATAGTTTCAACAGTGCATTATGATACGGACCTAAATAGTTACACAGCGCTGTGGCATTTCACTGCACTATACGTAACGACGATTGTTGATCGGTGCAGACTGAGGACTACGATATGGCTGTATCAAAATCCACTTGTCCTAACACAGCAGCTTCCG